CGAACTCATGCTGAAGTGGGCTTTAGCTTCTTAGTGCTATGCTTTAACATGCTGCACCACCAGGGAGCGCCCTGATACTTACTTTTTAAGAAATGCTTCCAGTAGTTTGTTGCACACACATATATATGTAAATACAATTGATTTGACATTGTACACTTCCACCTTACTTTTCTCATTTATAGTAGTATCTCTTTTGTAGATTCTTGGGCTTTCTTATGTAGACAATCATGTCTATTCTGAGTAGAGACAAATTTTATTTTTCCCTTAGCAATCTGGTTTTAATTACATTTTCTTGCCTTATCATATCAACTATGCAATGTTGAACAGGAATGACAGCAGATATCCTTGTTCTTTTCCAATCATGGGGGAAATTATTCAGTCTTTCACCATTAAGATTGGTAGTTGCAGTTTTTTAATATATACACTTTATAGAGATGATTCTCTTTTGTTCCTAGTTTACTGAGTTTTTACTATAAATCAGTGTCAAATTTTGTGAAATGCTTTTTCTTCATCTACTGATGTGATCATAAGAGATTTTTTCTGTTTGTTGATGTGATTTATACGACTGACATTGTAAACTAGATGACCTTTCTACTACCAGGAAAAACTTCAGTTGGCTTGATTTGTTACCTTTTTATATATGATGCATTTATTTTGTTAATACTTTGTGAATGATTTCCATACCTAAATTCATCAGCTTGAATTGTTTAATGTTTACATAAATATCAAGTACCAAATAATTCTACTTCTAGCAAATGTGAACTATGAAATTTGAAACAACCCTCTTGCTGAAGGCAAGTAGAAAAGTTGAAACAAAACTAAAAGAAAAAAAGCTTAAAAGTCACAATAGAGGTATCAGACAGTAAATGTGATATAAATATAAAACAGGGAAACATTTGTACCTCTGTTTTGTCATTTTTGACATTTTTGAATTCAGGCATTTTTGAATTCAGCATAGACTTCTTTTCTCTTTGTTTCAAAGGTAGACATCAATATGTTAACCCACAACTTGCAGACTCTAGAGGAAAAGAATAAAAAACTGGAAGATCAAATGGCTTCTCTAGAACTTCAGCAAGTCACTTCTGACTACCATGGGGTGGGTATAAAAGGTCAGTCTAAAGTATGAATTAATGATAAATGAATAAAAAAATCAAAAGTCAGGAAATGGGTTTTCTTTAATTATCACAAATCCTGAATAACTGGCTATATATGAAATAAATTCCTGTAATATACAAATAATAAAGGACTATTCAAATAATGAGAAATGTATTAAATTAAAATTTAAGGTAGCTGTTTAACATTTGCCTACACAGGTGAACTATAATGTTGAGAAGTACAAATACTTCCAATTTTTAAAAATATTTCCTCTTCCATAAATTATGAAGAAGAACCTTGCAGATTTTCCTCTGACTTTCCTCTATTAGGGAATCAGTAAAATGTCTGACTTCTAAAAGATATTAGACAAGTTCAATGTTTTACAAGTAAATGTTAGAATTCTTAGAACATTCCCAAGGGAAGGTAATTTAAAGAGAGGATCATTCTTTTAAGTAGCTAATGGTGTAGCCTGCATGCTTTTTGAATAGTCAAGCAAGAAAGTTACAGCTTTTATAACATACAAATTATCTTTGTAAATTGCATAGAAGCCCCAAATGTAAGTTTATCTTAATCTGAGCAAAATTCTCTCAAAATCTGCCATAAGCGGCTTATTACCTCCCTATGAAAAATCACAAAGTAAATCTAAATCCTCCTGTATTTTTAGGATTTTAAGGTCACACTTTTAGGTTTGTTTTGACTGTGACTCTGGGTGTGATCCTTACCATCTCTATGCTTCAGTTTCTTAATCTGTAAAAATGGGACATATTATTATTAAGGGGGTGTTTGAAGATTAATACATACATGTACAGCATGTAGATGATAGATAACATTTATTGAATTCTTCCTATCTGAACTCTTTTAAAAACTTTTACTTTTCTATTGGAATGAGAAGGTGCATTAACTCTAACTCCTAATTCTCAGACCAACCTTCCCTCCCACAAGGCTAAAAAGTATCTATGCCCTTGCTTGTCCACCCATTTGACTTTGGTCTCTCTGGAAGACCACATCACAGTCTTGCTGACTTTTTCAGATCTGCACTGCTAGTAAACAGACCCCGGGCCTTGATTTTTAAGGCCAGTGACATGTCAATGTTGATTCTTGCCTGTTGACCATATACCTCTTAACAATTCCAAGTGATAACTTACCACACCTCAATTCTAGTTTGCAGTTCCATGCCTCCACATAGAATCTTCAGTGATCAAGCATTCCTGGAAATTTGTCAATTAGGCATATGAGTCTGAGGAATAATGTTGGTATTTCAGAATTTTTAAAAAAATCTTAGCAATATAATTAAACCTTTTCCATTTGGTGCAGGTAATGTTTTTTTGTACATTAAAGTTAAAATTTGAAATTCTCAATAATAGAAGTTACAACCTCCTCGTATAACCTTTGTTGTTTTTAGTTGTTGAGTTATACATGAGTTTTGTTAGAGCTGCTAGTCCACAAATTTGAACTTACACAATCCTGGCTTCAACACTTGGCCCCAGGCACTCTCAACATGGCAGTTCATTAGTTTATGGACTTCAGTACCAAGGAGATCACGCTTAAGTGTAGGGTTCTCACAGTTACTGTGTGGACCTTTATTTGAATAATTACTGCATCTACTGTAAATTGACCTGTTCATGCATCTTCCTTCTCTCTTCTAATGCTAGAATAGTTGATATAGCCTAGCACAGTGACAATTCATAATACGTATTAAAGAAACATTGAGTAGAACAGTCATGTTTTTCTTGCCAAGAGGAGAGGATTAAATATCATATTTTGCTCATAGTGCCCATTACAGGAATAATATACAATATCCATGTATAAAATTATTTTTCTCAGATTTAATAATTTTATATTTGTTTGCCATTTTAACTTTTAATGTGAAATTTAAGCTCTTTACTACAGCAGTCATGCAGAGAAGCATGGTGAAAAAAGATTCAAACATGGAGGTTACAAATCCTGATATCTAGTTATATGACTCTTATTCCCACTTAAAGAGTTTTTAGCATTTTAAATAGTAGAAATAAGCAGAAATAATAACTTTCTACATAATTAGAATGTTAATATGAAATGAAACAATGGATTAAATGTACTCCTTAAAACCATGATGACATTAGTCATTATACACCAATGCAGATGTCTAAGTTGGTTCCATCTGCTGGGGTGTAGTCATACTGTTGATAAATATCTAGAATAAATCCCGATTTCAAACTTGGTAAATAGCCTTACCAAGATGCCAATACCTTCTGTGTTTATATATTCTAATAGCTTTTGGTAACATTTAGATTATGTGAATTTTTTTTTAAGATTTATTTGTGCATACAGAACTGGGGTACAGGCCAGAGGCTCAGGGGCGGTGAGAGGCTCCACCAGAGAGAGTGGGGAACAAAACAAGCAGAACGATGGAGGACACCGCTAAGGGGAGCTGCGGGTGGGTTAGGAGAGGTCTGCCATACCATGTGGTCACCTCTGGGACAGGCGGGAATCGAACTCATGCGGAAGCGGCTTTAGATTCTCAGTGCTGTGCTTTAACCCGCTGCGCCACCAGGGAGGGCCCAGATTATGTGAAATTTTAAATAATTTTAGAAATCATGTGCTTTACTACTGACTCTTTGCAGCTTACCTTCCATATCTTAGATATTCCTGATTGTTACTTGCTTTTCCAAGGAGCAATGGCTCTGTGTTTTGGTTAAAATGTTTAACCTTTAGCATTTTTCTTTATATGCTGTTTTTCAGGTAATTCTCCAATTTGTTTTGCTCCCATATTAATATTTGTAGTATAATACCAAGATTTTTTAAGCAAAAGTTAATCTCAGTTCTGCTTTACACAATTCCAAATCTGATGATAATCACTCAAATGGTCTCTAAGTTTCTTGTCCATTGAGTCTTTAAGTATAGAGTCTGTTTAAGTAACCTGACAACTGTGATATACATTATTATCTTATCTACCTAACATTTGGAAAAACTGCTTTTTTCATAACTTTGTTTAAATGACTTGTGTCAAATACCACATTTTTATTTTTCTTGGATAGTCTTCAGTTACCATCACATTAATATTCTTTCAGTTACCATCACATTAATATTCTCTTTGGTAGCAAAAAGGGAAAATATTATTAAGGTATATATAAAATATTACTAGAATCTCTTTACACCTTTGCCTAAAACATAATTTTGAGGAAAGAAGATACCTTTACTTTAAAATTCCTGAGTACTATTTAAGAGACCATAAAATCGAAGTTATTCACCAAAAACCTTTCCACCTTCCAAGAAGGCAAAGTTATTTTTGGCTGTTTAGTATTTACTTGTGTTTAGTATAAACTGCAATTTACTGTAGTTCTAGTATATTGTAACTTAAACCTAGCTCTTTGTGTTTTATATACTATATCTACACTTTAGAACACATTGAGGCAATAATTTATAGAACTTGAAACTGAATTTTAAATAGCTCACTTTTTTTTGTTATGGTTTAGCTGTTTTTGTAGCATTATTGGCCTTTCTTGTAGCTTATTTTTTGCAAAGACTTGTCAAAATACAATTCCAAACTACAGTCTAGAATTGTTGAATGACTTTACATCACAGTTTCCAAAATAGAAAAATTGGTAAGGAGGATTATGTGTGTTTTTATTAATCTTCTATTTATTGATAGCAACAACATTTCACTAAGGTTATTTCTGAAAACATTAAAAATTATTTTTCTTTGCTTTAATAGCAACACATAATGATTTAAAAACACCCACCCACTGATACCTATAGTGAAAGTGTATAATTTTAGGGTGTATGGTATACAAGGACTAATCACTCTATGGCTTTTTCATATGATTTTATTAGCCTGTAATGTCTAAAATGGTCTCTTCTACTCAAGGCAACAACCAAGGAAAAAACAATTCTCCAAACTAGTGTGCCCTTTTATACAGTACATGCTATTGTGAAAATATTTTTGAAAAGAGGATAAAAAAGTTACACATTATTTTATAATAATGTAGTTTGAAATGTCCTTTTGCTTTTATTTGGAAACAAGTGTGTGGATTCACAATACTCACAAAAAGTGCTACCCAAGTAATGACTATACAATGGCTAAAATGGTGATGAGAAATATTTCGTGTAAATTAATACTCCTGTAAGTATGGTTTCTTCTTTATCAGCCTGCACCAAGTTTAACACGCAAGTCTGAATTCTTTGGGCTGAAAGGCCTAAAAGTTCTGCTGTTTTTGTTATTTGTAAATTAAGCAAATGTAAGCAGAATAGTGAATTATTTCAATATAGGATACCAACATGAGATTTTAGAACTCAAGATTTACTGCTAATGATCTGCATTGCAGCTGGTTTGTGTGAGTGATTAAGGACTTCTGTTCTTAATCACATTTGCTATGTATGTATATGTTATCCTGAAAGATGATTTATAAATGATTTTGACATATGGGGAATAGTAATATTCTATACTAAGATATAATACTAAATTTGATTATGGTGGATGAAGATTTCCATATTTAATTACTAAAATATTGTTCCTGAAATACCAATAAGGTCCAAAACCTAATTAAATTATAGCTTGTATGTATTTCTTATGACAGTTTGAATAAAAAGAGTGGAGGAAAAAACATTATTAATAGCTGTTGCAGTGATGAAAATATATATTTTCATGTAACATGAAGCCTTTGATAATGTCCTAGATAATACTGTGTTTAGTGATTCATGATGAGTCTCAGAAATACATTTAAGATTTTTTATGCTGACTGTTTAGTATGGTAACACAAGTGTCTCCTAATGAACAAGTGGTGTGATCATCTGCATTTTTCTTAAACTATTAATACAACTACCCCACATTTGGGCTGGATTGCAACTATAAATGAATTACTGATATAATAAAAGTAGAACAAAGAAGAGCAAACTGAGATCCTTAAGGCACATATTTATTAGCAGTTTTTATTACTTACACAATGGTCACCTCTCTAGGAAAATGTAAAGAGGTGCCAGAAACCAATATTTTACTATAGAATGGCAAGGGTATATATTTGTTTATAAAGAATTTGATTATTTCATACTATGTCTAGAGGCACCAATAATGGTATTTGTTTTGTCAGCTTGCCCAACAACAGGTTGATAAAGTCTTAGGGAAAATCACTGAAAGTAAAAATAAGCTGGCCTATGAAAAGGGACAACTCCAGGTAAGATATTTTTTTTTTTTACTCATTTATAATGCCATATGTCAAGCTAAGTCTCTCTGATTTTGAGAAAACAGCCTGGCCATTTACAGATTATGTAGTTTGAACAAGCCTTTGAATCTCTTTAAGTTTGTTGCCTTGTTTAAAATCCAGGTGATTTCTATTCACATATGCTAAAAGCTAAAATTGTGAAGTTACAGCCCAATTAAAGCTTTATTACAATTATTTTGTGTATTTCACTGAGAATATAGAAGGCTTATGCTCTTTTTTCTTGCTGAATTTTTTTTTAAAGATTTATTTGTACATACAGAACTGGGGTACAGGCCAGAGGCTCAGGGGTGGCGAGACTTTTCACCAGAGACAGCGCGGGGAGCAGAACAGGCAGATCCACGAAGTACACTGCTGAGGGGAGCAGCGGGAAGGTCAGGAGAGGTCTGCCGCGCCATGTGGTCACCTCCGGGGCAGGTGGGAATCGAACTCATGCTGAAGTGGCTTTAGCTTCTCAGTGCAGTGCTTGAACCCGCCGCGCCACCCGGGAGGACCTCTTGCTGAATTTTTATGAGTCTTAAAAAGAAATAATCTTGGAAATTGGGACTCTGAGGCAATAGGACAGACTTGAGTGAATAGGGTTTTGTCCCTATAGTACCCCACAGAATAGGAGATTTACCGTTGAATTGGCTAGCCCTCCCAACTCAGTAGAAACACTGACATCTAAATTAGTAGTTCTTGGTTAAACAGAATCACCAGGGGAAATTTGAAAACTTATGCTGAGAAATGTATGAGTTCTGCCATTTACATTAAAATGAATCATTAAAAAACTAATGTTAGAATGTGAATGATAGTTGCATACACATTCACAATTCAATTCTTGTTTTTTTCCCTATATTAAAAAAAAATTGCAGAGAGAGAGTAGATAGTTACATGTGTTAATGTAGACAAATAGCTATAATACTATATACTGCAATACTATATACTGTTTAGGACTATATTGACAGTATAACTATGTAAAGGAGTGGGAATGACAAACATCAAAATCATCATTTGATTAGGATAGTATAAACAAGTTTCTTTGTTGTAGAGGATTTCAACTGTATTGGTAATGTTTTTGCTTTTTTAATTGAAATAGGATAGATGAGCTATTACTATATCTGAAAGATTTCTGATAATTTTGTTGATCTTTAAACTCATCATTTGAGTGCTTTACACTCACTCCAGTCTACCAATGGCACTATCACATTTATTCCAATTGGCTTTGATATTGTATTAGATATTTAGCCCTTTAAGTAAGTAACCACATTTGTGACTTTAGAGATTATGTAAAGATTTTATTTTGCTGCCTTTGATTTACTAAGCCTTCTGTTAAACTATAACACATATACAGAAAGTGCATAGCCCAATGAATTTTCACAGAACAAAGCTGCCTACTATGTGATCAGCACTCAGAACCACTACAAAGCATTTTCTAGCCTATCTCCTACAAGGGTAATTACCATCCTGACATTTAGCACCCCAGATTTTTACCTGTATTTGAGCTTCATATAATAATGAAATAGATATTTTTGTGTGTCTTGTTTCTTTCATTCAGCTTTATAATTGAGATTCATGTTGTTCATCATTATAGTTCTTTGGTTTGAACCTCTTTACTAGTATTCCATTCTGTGAGTAATGGGTAAGGATTTAAAAAAAGATATGTTACACTGAAATAACCTGTTTCTAGAATGTTTTTTTAATTAAAATGCATAAATTTGACAATTCAGATTGTTTTAAATCTGAGGTTCAATGTAATGGAGATAAAATGTGTCCTGCTTTATTTTAAATTTGCCATATGAATTGAAAAAATCTTACAATTAAAACACTTTTATAGTGTTACATATTTTAGTCCTATATGTAAATATGCATGTACACATTTATATTAAGATCACTTGAAACAAATGAAAATATGACCTAAAATCATTGGTAATTCAGAGACTGGGTACTGATAACTATGGAAGCTGTTTGCAGGTTAATGATCAAAGCAGCAGATGTCTGAGGGGCATCAGGATTTTTGTTTTTCTCATTTTGAATTTCCTGAATTAGAAATTATACTCAATAAGAAACTACTTGTAAAAATGAAAGTGCTTTATAGAACATGCCATCTCACAAATTTCAGGGCATTTATTAAGTAACCAGAAGCTGAAGATAAATTAACTAAAAAATAGTGTGAAAGGTTATTCTCTGTTCTACTGGATGCAAAGCAAATTTCAATTCTTCAGAGTTTTAAATCAGTCCATTTTTTGTGGGTTTTGTAGGTTAGCAGCAGTTTGTTAAAATGAGAATAGTTGTATCAATACCTCACTTTAGAGGCAGCCATTTTTATTGGGGGCTTTAAATTGGGGGGGGGGTGAGGAGGAACCACAGCACATCTTTTGTACTATGGAGCAGAAAAGAACAAAAGATGAGTATGAACAAACTAATGGAATAAGAGATATTCCTGAGACAAAATTCATTTAGCCTTTCCGAATTCACACACAAATCTGAAGTTCCTGAAAATGTCCAGTAGCTATATCCAGAAGAGAATGCCCTCCAAGTATGTCTCAAGAGAAGATAACAGAGAGAAAAGTTGATTTTGAATGAAATTTTTCCTGGCTCAAGGGTAGACTAATGTATGTTGTTAATTTTTGTGAATGTCTTGAGATTAAGAGGAAGAAAATGTGGAAAACTTTGGAGATTTGTGAGTATATTTTAATGATTTTTATCCTCCCAGATAATTTTCTTTCAAGAGAAAAATGTGAGTAGGCACCTTAACAAGTTAGTTTTAAATTATAATTCACATAGCGCTACATTTAAGTTTTGTAATTCTATTAATAAAACAAGACTAAGTTTGCTTCTTACATATTGACAATTCTAATTAATTATATATATATATATATATTTATATATACACACACACACACTCAAAAAAGTTTATGAAGGGTAGGTATCTTAATCCCCTTAAAATCAAAATATTTAATTCACAGAATGTCAGTTGTATTCATGAGACATGCCCATTTGGAGTTTCCATAAGCAATAGAAACCAAATTAGTTGTCTCAGTATATGTAAGTGGTCATTGCCTACTTTCACATTTGAGTTGAAATAGCATTCTTTGCATGATTAGAAAAACTTGGGATTGCTCTATACAAGTTTTAATGATTTTGATATTTTTGTAAAATATGTATTTTTTTCTTTTGAAGTATATATAAATGTATCTCATTAATAGTGCTTTATTTTTCTCTTTTCCCCTAGATAAAAGTGAAACAGCTAGAAGAACAACTACACTCTTTCACAGAAACCAGTTCACAGAATGATCATCTACGCAAGTTAAATAAGACTCTAGAAAGCCAATATGCTCAGGTGAGATTAATAGCTATGAAACAGATTTGAAACTGATGCCTTCTATACAGTCCCAAAAAGAGGTATATTCTGTCATTTGACTTGATTCAAATTATTTTTAAACCCTATTATGCACAGGATTCTGCTAAACCGTACAGGAATTCATAAAGATTCTTGAAGCAGAATTGGGACATTCAACCTATTTATACTCTACTTGGAGACTTAGGAATGTACTCAAATAGGATAAAAAAGTTATACCTTTCACAAACAAAATAGATGATATTGTGAGCATTCACAGAAGTATAATGATTGGGGACATTATGGATTGCTTATACAGTGGAAGTGGTTTTTAAATTGTGCCTCAAAACTTAAGACAGATGAGGACTTATTGGTGGCACAGGGAGTAAAGTCTCAGCACTGTCAAACTATTGCCAGCCAATGCCATGACAGCAGTTTCATACCCTGGGCCAGGGAGCTAACCCACATGGTGCAGCATACCTCTCCTGTCTTGCTCACTGCTCCCCTCAGCTGTATACATCAGTAGGTGTTCCTGTTCTCTCCTGACTCTGTCTTTGGTGAATCTTCTCATACCCAGTTCTTGTATGCATAAATAAAGAAAAATAAAATTTAAAAAAACTTTAGAAAGATGTAAATCCACAACTGACAGCGCATTTAAGAAGGTATTAGTAGTGATGAAGGTGCTTACCTGTCAACATGTTACTATTGAAGCCAAGACCCTTTTGTAGTTACATAGGCATTTTGACAAATGAGTAAAGTTAAACCAATAAAATAATCTAAGGGGGAAAATAATCCAGTAGTATGTTACCCAAAGAAAATGATTCTGTGATTTAACTTCTTCAACTATCAATTTAACATGTGTAACTTTAGTATCTGCAATATTTGTGTATGTATTCCCTAGTAACCAAGGAACTGGAATGTGTTTTCAGGTGGATTACTGTTTGGGTTCTAAGCACCTAACTATACTGATGAGTGATGAGGTCACAAAGTTGGTAAACAGAGGCTTCTTTACATATGCCCTCCTACAGGGAGTTTGGATTAAGGTCCATTTTCATTCATTAGGACATACTTTATTCTGAAAGCAAAGGAACACATTTTCAAATATAGTTTCCATTGTGGCTTCATTTAGAACATTGTGTTGTTTCTTCTAGGAAGGGGGCACTCATTGAAAAATAACTCTAGGTTTAGTTGATTTTACTTTTTAATTGGTGATGCCGCCAAGAAAAAGGAAATCTCCTGAGAGGCCTGCATCTTCAAAATTCCTTGAAAGCTGGAGGTCCCATGTAAACAATGTAAAGGATAGAACTTCATCGGTTGATTTGCCCAGTGTTATTCCAAACTCTACACGACGTGTGACCTTTGCACCTACTTTGCCTTCTATGAAATCTTCTCAGGAGTTAGGAGACTCTAGAATATCTCTAAAGACTCTCTTGAATGCTATTAAAACAATGGAGGGAAGACTAGAAGGTAAAATAGACATTCTGGCCTCGAGACCATTAATAAATGATCCACCAAGTGTTCTTAAACGGGATTCGGTAAGTAAGACCACAAATAAAATTTTAAGGAAATTTGATTTATACAATGAAGAAAATGTAATAATTTAGAAAACATCATGTTTGTATGTGGGTAACAAGGAAAGGTGTTCTTCACAAATAGGAAAAACTGTTGTGTACACTGAAATTATTTTTCTTGCTATCAAATTTTTGTTTTGAATATATCAATTGACAATAGAAATTATTTAAATCTGATTTTGATTTGATAAACCTCTAGTTTAAATTCAAAAATTCTACCTTGACTGGTAAAATGTTTGGATAAAGCCTGATTTTAAAGTAGATGTACATTATTAGAAACCTGAACGAAAACTTAGAAAATCCATCTTCCAACTTTGCTTGCTATTCAAAAGTAGATTGTCTTCTAGAGTATACTGTTCTTTAAAAACTTTGTCAAGTTGTTAGTAGCTTTTCATATATGTGTGTGTGTATATATAAGCACTGAAATATTTTAAAACACTGTGTACTTTTCTAGAAAAGAATCCGGTAGTTTTTCAGAAATATAATTTGGCCTCCTCTGTACTATTCTTAGATACTTAGAGAAATTTCAATTATCATTTTTTTTTAAGATTTTATTTTTGTGTAGATCTGAGGTGGGGAAGGAATGAATTCACCAGAGACAGAGTGAGGAGCAGAACAGACCAATCTACTGAAATACACTGACTAGGGGAGCAGCAGGCAAGATAGGTCTGCTGTTCCCATGTGGGTCATCTCCCTGGCCAAGGATAGAACTTAGGCTGTTCTGCTATTAGGAGTGTAAAGTGGTACAATTTCACCCCATCATTTTACTTTTAGGACTTTTCCTACAGATATACTAGCTTGTATATATGATATTTAAGAGATTGGCTTAACAATTGTTATTTGAAATTGATAGTTTTATTCAGACATATTTTCAAGCATTATTAGAAATTAAAACAATCAAGGTTCAGAAAACCCATAATTTATTAGTTTGTATGCAAAAGGGGTCGAGGGATAAAGAAGACACTGTCCCCATATCAATTGGGACCTAACAATATTATGTACAATAAGATAATTTGAAAATAAATACATTTATGCAACTATTTCACATAACTCTTTTATAGTATACTTGTAACAGGCACGGTAAGATATTAACAGTACTCATATGTATGCAAAAGGAAAAACTGCATATTTAGAGTTCATTACTATCTGACTTCAAGCATCCTTTGGGGTTTTTGAACCTATCCTTTGCAAATAAGGGGGATTACTGTATGCATATGTATTAATATGACTAGAATATCTCTAAAATGAATCAATGTGCTGACTAAGTGACTTGGAGCTGTTTCATTTTTCCATTGTACTTTAAAAATATGAATGTGCTACCTATTCAAAATTTATGAACATTTCATTTTCAACAAGAGAAAATAGAAAAAGGATGCTCTTTTAAACAAGTAATGCTGGAACAAACAAAACCCTTTGCTCCATGCCATATACCATGTTAATTCAAAATGGCTATATAACTTCAAGAATAAATGTGATCTTAGATTATGCAAAGATTTCTTAGACTTGATCCAATTTGATACATTAACAGTTTATGCTCTTCAGAGACATAGAGAAGATTTTTATCACAAGTATTTTCTCCCAGACTGTAGCTTATCTCCAGAATCTTATTAAAAACTCTCAAATCCCTTAGAGGAAGGCAACCAAATATAAAAGGAATGGCAAAAGTATTCTTATAAAATAATAAAGCCAGATTTTATTTTATTTCTAATACTGAATCAGCATACTTAAACATTTTAAGTTTGATTTTACTTTCTTGTTCTAATTGTTGATTTACTGTGCCTTGGAAAAGTCACTTATCTCTTTTTTCCTAAGGTGAAATCTATTCTTGAAAAGAATGAAGAGGAGCTCTCACAAACAGTGAAGTGTCGTGATGCAGCACTGAAAGAAAGCCAAAAGTTGAAAGGGGACCTGGAGGCTTTGGAGGACAGGGAGAACAAGAAGGCAAGGAATCAATACTTTCTCAAAGTCTGTCACTGAGAAGAGGTGCTTATGAAACCTTTCAGGAGGCATATTCCTGCATTTCCCTTACTCTCACTTGGAAAGACTGAAGATTGGTCACAGGAAGGTTTCCCTCCCTAAAGATAATCTCCCAATTTTTTTTTAGCTTGCTGTCTTAATCAAATCTTAATCCTTTTCTTTTGAAGCACTTAGTGCTTTTTACTTAACAGTATGTATGCTTAGTGGGAACAAATAACATATTCCAACTTCTTGATAAATGGGTGCTAAAACCTCCTGAAGAGGACCGGGAGTTATATCAGTCTTTAGGAGCTTATACATTCTCATATTGACTATTTATTAAGATAAATTCTGATTAATTTCAGGTTATGTTCCCCTTTTCTGTTCCCATCATAATTGGACCAGACCAGAGGGGGTCAGTTTAAAACCAACTCTAGGCCCAAGAAATTATTGATTCCAAATCTCCACTTAATACACATGCTGTGGCATGGTTGGGAAGCACTTCTAGGGTCTAGTTTTCATTTTTTTTTTGAAACCACAGTAATTTAAGAAACAAAATATACTTTATTTCTTTGAGCATACTATGACCTGGCTTCCGTACTCTAGAATGGATTCAATATTTTTGTCTTGTCTCATTTGCTACTAGGTGGGAAATTTTCAGCGTCAATTGGCAGAAGCCAAAGAAGATAACTGCAAAGTTACAATCATGTTGGAGAATGTGCTGGCTTCTCACAGTAAAATGCAAGGTGCCTTAGAAAAAGTGCAAATAGAGCTTGGGCGGAGAGATTCAGAGATTGCAGGCCTCAAGAAAGAAAGGTACCTCAGATTACTTGTATTTTTCTGCTACATTGTAGTAGGTAGCAGTGTGCAGAAAGGAAAAGATGTCAGTTTGTTGCTTCATTTGTGAAAAACTAGAAAATGGTGTTTAAAGAACTAGCAAGTTATGGGAAATTCCTACATATTGTAGTGATGTGAAGATGTATGCATTCTAGAAATTATATATTTATCCTGGCTGTTTTCTACACCACTTAAACCTACCATTGGGTCTACAGACTAGTAAAGTTATCATTTTAGGTTAATAAACAAATGGTTTGAATTTAAGACCTCTAAAACACTGTATATATTGGTGCCATCTTGTTTCTGTGTTATGGGAGAACAAGTTAGTTCCATTTTTTTATACATTATCCCAGAAGTTTGAAATGGTATTAAAAATACTGCTCACCACAATAAAGTTCTGGACACCTATTGTATTTAGAAGTTAAAAATTTCAACAGCAAGCTGGTCCATATAGAGGTAACATAAATTTTTTATATAAAAGAATTCTATAATCTTAGAACATTTGATGAATTTGTCAGTGATTTATTGTGATTATAGAAATGGAAATACTACTTACTGAAGAATTACAATGAGAAAGTATTTGATTACAAGAGCTAGGATTTAAACCCTTCTATTACAAGTCATACCTGAGGTGTGAATTCAAAGCCTAATTTTAACTACCAAACTCCCTCATTTAGCATAGCTTTAACATTTCCCAGAATATCAACTATAATAATTAACTGGTAGTTTGAGCTCTTGTTGCATTGGTATGACATGTGTTACTTTCCTGTTTACCTGCTACTAATCAGAAATGTATTTGTACTGCTATTATAAATAACATTGTGCTTGCAACCTTTGTATCAAAATCTGCCCCTACTTTGGACCATGACCTTATTGCCAATATTTTTTAAAAATGGGGAGTACAGAAAACTGGCAAGTAGCTGTTGCCAGTGTACTTTTGAGTTCATATAGAATGAACAGAATCTGTTGGTTGAAGACATACAAAAGTATTAAAATGCAGCATAGTCTAAAAGAGCATTTGAAAGTAGAGCTCATGGTGTTAGATGTTAGCAAAAAAAAAAAAAAAGTGAGGCTGTCTCAGAGAATCTAGTTTATTACTAAAGTTAGGTTTTGTGGGAATCTATATGTCCCATATTAACCTCTCCAGTAATGTGATCAGATCTGCAATCACAATTTTCAAAAACAGAATTGTATACATATACAGTTTAATTTCCAAATATGCTTATTCACGTTTATCTCACTGATAAATATTATAGAAAGATGGATGCAAAATAGTTAAGACTTCTTTACAAACCCATAGTCAGTCATTAATTTTTTTTGCTGGGACAGATTTTTAATCCTAATCTAAGACTACTCATTCTTAGCAGATAACTCTCAGATATTCTGAGCATCCACATAGGTTATTTGAACTACTTGGAAGAAAAGTACACTAACTCCCAATGCTATGTTTCTAAAGGATTCTTTTCTGTAGTCATTCTTTCTATGTGCTTGCCATTTTTAGGGCTCTGAATCAACAGAGGGTGCAGAAACTAGAAGCAGAAGTGGACCAGTGGCAGGCCAGAATGCTTGTTGTGGATGCCCAGCACAGTAGTGAGGTAGAAGCCAGTTTTATAGATGAGAATGTTGATATTGGTTTCAAAACAATCTTAAGTTTCCTTTTCATTCAAGTGTGAGTTTCAGACATTGGACCTAGTAATCACTTATTGGCAAACCAGGAGCACAATTATATGGTCTACATTCCTCTCATAATGCAAATGATCACTAGAATCAGCCCATTATTAATAAGGATATATATGTACTTGGAAGCAAACCCTTGTGACATGGGTATTTCATAAATACGGTTTTTCTTCTAGAAAAGTGTATAACAGTTATCCTTACCTTAAGGCACAACATCAGAAGGTTATAGGATCTAACTATTTAAAAGTTTTTTTGGCTCTATTTTCCTAAGTTCTCAAATACTTCAGGAATCTTAGGACCTGGTTCCCACTAATAATTGTTTTTAACACTGGTGTTAGGAGTGAATATGCAGTGTCATCTATTTCATCTGTTATAGTGGAATTAAAAACACTTTCTTTCAGATGGAGCCTCTACAAAATGCTCTTGATGTGGCTAGAGAAGACAATAGGAAATTGGCTATGAGTCTAGAGCAAGCTCTCCAGACAAATCATCATCTGCAAACAAAACTTGATCATATTCAAGAGAAACTGGAAAGCAAAGAAGTTGAGCGACAAAATTTAGAAACCTTCAAGTAAGAGCAACATAAGCATATTGAATTTAGAAAAGCTGGCTTGCTCATCTAAACCAGGTAACCCTGGTTCTCTCACTTTGAGCTAGTACTCCCAGCAGAAGCATGTTAAGAACCATGCATAGCTGAGCAACAGCAGATTCTAGGTGACCCAGGTATGCTCATTTGGATGGACTGTGTAGCTCTTCCTTCACCCAGTGTCAAACCAATTTTTAAAGAATATTGATTGTCAAGGCTTTTTTACCAACAGCTTATGTTTCCTTTTTCAATCAGAGTTTAAGCTGATTAAGTTCAGGAGAAGCCAGTAAGGTTTTATCTAAAACTGTATATGTGCAAATTTGATTTAGATAGTAACATGAAAATTTATGCACATTGGTCTTTATTCCTTTCAGAAATTATTACTATAGGAGAAAGTAGCTTGAAGCAAGGAAGGCATGTTTTTCATTTCTGTATATTCTTACCAAAGCTTTGCTAAAACAATAGAATGTGTTCTCTTTTGGTTGCATCTCTTTACATTAAGTAACTGGTTTTTTAGAATCAGGTAAATACATTTTTTACCTTCCATGAAGTTCTCCCTTGTAACAGATCTGTTTCTAGTTTATAAATTGCACAATGCTCTCCATATCTTTCTTACCTCCAAAGGTGATTTATTGTGTCTTCTTCAAAACAGAGAACGGATGGCCGAGGAATCCAAAATAGAGGCAGAATTGCATGCTGAACGCATAGAAAGTCTAAAAAAACAGTTTCAAACGGAAAGAGAAACTGTGAAGAAAGCAGCGCAAAGGGAAATGGCTGAGGTAAGGAGTCAAGGGCCAAAAAAAAATCTAGGAGAATGTCTTTTAAGAGAGTGTAGCCAGCTAATACATTGCAGAGAACTAGCATAGCTCTTTGGTTATTCTAATCCCCCTTTGACAAGCAAAATAGATACAACTGAGCCATCTCTGCACTATTTGTAAATTTGACACATAATTACCTGGTCAATAAAGGAATGCCTTGATTAGTGCACACCCACTGGAGAAATAAGGAGATTACCACCTGATTAACAGATATCAAATCATCTGTCCCATTAGTTCAATTAACACATGAAATAGATTTACAAAATAGGGAACACTGAGAATCTTCCTTGGATAGCTAGAAGGTCTTTGAGCTTCCCTTCTATTACCCAAGCAGCCTAAAAGAAAATACAGAATTAAGATCAGCAGAATGGGACATTTTATGTAAAAGAATTAACAAAGCTTAGTTACAAAAATGAGCAAGACATGAGCAAATGAAAAGAATTTTCCTCTATCATGGCAAATGACCTTGACTACCAGATGTAATCATATAAGGTAAAAGTGGATCATTGTAGGTGTTGGAGGGGGCTATACTATAAGCATATTTTTAGGAAGATTAATTTGACAGCAGTGGAGAATAGCAAGGAAGAACAGGATTAGAACACTGTTAGGTAATTAGATGATTAGGACCAAGCAAGGAATTGTTGAAAATAGAGAAGATCATTTTAGATAAATAAGTATAAAGTATAAATGTTATATCAGGAATTAAAATAACCCCAGGATTTTTAAGGGGTACATGGTCTTATTTTGTCATTATTTTTGTAGTATGTTGTAAATTGAAAAGCAGTATGTAATAAATATCTCAATAGGAAGTTTAACAATGGTATGGGCTTGAGGGTAGGGAATGTTGTTTAAGAGTTTTCTGCCTCTACTAGCAATGTGTGCCAATAACTTCTGAGTCTAAATTTCTTCAGCCACAAAGTAGAAATCAAATAAGTTAGTTGAGTAGTAATAAAGGAGTAACACTGACAGGAAAGTAGAGAAAGGATATAAGAAATTTTGACTTCACCTTCCACTCATGTACCTCTTCATATGACTGTGGAACAACAGTCACATTAAGAATATAATCTCACTTTACCCCCTTCTAAAAAGAAAGGCCCAACAAGAATAAGTGGGGGGCGAAATTAAACATAAGCCCCTCTCACTGAATGGAAAGTTAAAGTGCCATTTTTGTTGCATTCCATAGCTGAAGAAAGCCCTTGATGAAGCCAACTTCCGGTCAGTGGAGGTATCACGGACCAACCGAGAACTGCGGCAAAAACTTACAGAGCTGGAGAAGACAGTGGACAGTAACAAAGAGAAAATAAAAAATCAAAAGGCTCAGATTAAGCTTCACTTGTCAGCCAAGGCAAATAATGTGCAGAATGTAGAGAGAATGAAGGTTGTATTAAAAAAAAAAAAAAAACCCTAAGATCTCCCCTTACTATCTGATAAGAATGCAGGCAGGGGCCAGGGAAGATGGTTTCAGAGCACCACTTGGATATATATGCTCTGGGAACTACAGCTATAACTAGGAAGTACACAGTTTGGCTTGGGGGAGCAAAGCCAGTGGTGTAAATGTTTTGAAATTTGCATTCTCAGGATTAGTGGGCCAGATGGGAAGGAGAACCAAGCAGGACTGATAACTATGTTCTTGTATGGGATTCTTTTAGTTATTCCTTAGGCAAAAAGAAGCAAGTGAGTTTTTCTATTGATCATCTTATTTTATTTTCAGCAAATAGAAACAGAATTGAGACAAATGGAGCTAATTAAGGATCAATATCAGAAAAAAAACTATGAACAGGTAGATGATTTCCACAAACTCTTTACCAATCTCATTAAATCCTACTTGGTCAGATCCACCAACTGTCTACCTCTTTGTATCCTTCCAGTCATTGAGTATTCAGAAATTTGTATCTGAAATGACTAACCTGCAGAAGGAGATGCAGCTATTGGCTAAGAGCCAATATGATACCTCAGCACGGAATAAACAGCAAGAATTGCGACTAGAGACAGAGCGGAAAATAAGACAGGAACTAGAGACTCGGTGCCAGGTAAAAGATTTAAGATTCTTCTCACTCTCAAAAGATTATCAGCACATAACATGCCAAAACCCAGCACTATAGCACCTAAATTTTATACATTCTCTGGGGAAAAATGTGTAAGTTGTTCATCTTAGTCCTTAAAACCACAGTCTCTAGGAAGATGCTTATAGATTTGAATAACATATTCTGTTACCAACTTATAAAAATGATACTAACAGAAAACCTAACATCATATCACTGAAAAGGGACTTCAAGGTATCGAACTCTGAACAGAGTGCCAGCTTTAAAAAGCATCCCTCTGACTTTGGAAAGAGATGTTAAATTACTTTTTCTCATAAAAATTGCAAATGTTATCTTGTCTTTTTGGTAGTTCCTAAAGGTGTGAAGTATCCCATCATTACTGTCAAATTTGGTTTCCCATTCATTACACTAACTTTTTGTAGAATTATTTGTGATTTTTTAGGAATTAGAAGAAACTATCAGACACTTGAGGAAATGTAAAGAGGCAACAGAGAATAAACTGAAAGAAGCCAGTGCAGAATCAGAACAGGTAAGCCAGACCCATGGATATAAATAAAGGCTTAGATCATTTCCTCAAATATTGCACAAAGTTAGTAACTTAACAAATTGTTAAAGGCAGGAAAGGCTGAGAGACACAATCCTGCCCCCTTTGCACAACAACCTAAATTGTAAAGGAACTTAAAACCTGGAGTTTCTCCCTGAGAAAAGTGAAAGAATTTGAAACCCATATCAGTCACCCCACCAAGATCTGTAGCTTTAAACTCAACAGGACTTGCACTCCTCAGACTTGCTATGTGGAAAGAGGTTCATTTTGTTTATCCTAACACATTAGCATGAAGGGCTAACATCCCAGGGCTGCTGGACACAACCTTCTTACTTTACCCCAGTGGATAGTTGTTATAATCATTTTGGTACCCTGACTTTGTGGCCAGAGACCTGTGTTGCAAATCAGAAAAGTCTTGGCAGCTACCACCCCCAGGTTGGTACTTGGGGCCTACAGAGCACCGTCTTGTAAACAGCTTGTAAGCCCTCTGTACTCCCAGTTTTGCAACCTTGACCCCAGGGACTTACCTGCAGTGACTAATGTGCTTACACTTGTCATCCCACAGTATTTTTTTAACACTTTGAAATAAATACAGACCCTGAGAAAATAAAGCTAATTGAGGTCTTCCAGTCTTGGCACACCTTCATCTTGGGGGAGCTACTAGAAATAAAGGCTGCTTAATCACAAATGTTAAAAAGAAAATGAGCTAGTATAGGGCTGAATGTCAATTTCAACTCCTAGTCACTAATTCCTCGAATGCATAGAACACAGATAGTCAAAATGGAAAGGATGCTTTCCTTTTATCTTGATGCTTCAAGATAAAACATCATGGAGAAAACTTAATGACGTGGAGCTAATGACGTGGAGCTAAGCACTTTACCTGACAAAGAATTTGAATTAGTGGTCAAAAAGATCCTCACTGAACTTGAGAAGATTGAACACAGGAATCTAAATATATAGATGTGTGTGTGTGTGTAACAGCTTAAAAATATAGTAGAGAGTTTAACAACAGAGTAAATGAAGCAGAAGAAAAAATGAGGGCAGTGGAACTCACCAATGAAGCAGAAAAGTGTGAGAAAGTAGCTTAATTATGGGAAATAATACAATGACTAGTGGACTTTAAGGGGTCACCTTAAAGAGACCACAGAAGAAAAAGAAATGATAGCTGATAGCATCCCTAAACTTGTAAGAAGACTCCAAAATACAAAGGTATTTACAGTTGTAGGTGAAGATGAAAAAATTTTAAGCACCTAAGGGAAACATTACATGAAGAAGCTCCCATAAGGACCAATGGAGTGGCATGATATATACAAAGGGCTGATATATACAAAGGGCTGAACTTTAAAGAATACCCAGCAAAGCTGCTCAGAATTGAAGAGGTAAACTAATGCAGCTCAACAGATTCTCTTTCAGCCTTAAGTTCATCGGGTCCAGTGTCATTTAACAGATTTGTACTGAACATTCTATCCAAAAGCAGCATATACATTACTCTGTAATGCACATTCTCCAAGATGGTCTCACTCCAGATCTTCATAACTTTTAAATTATATCAAGCATCTTTTTCATCCGCAATGGTATAAAACTAGATATAACAACTTTACAAATATGTGGAGCTCAAACAACATGCTATTGAATAACCAGTGGGTCAGTGAAGAAATCTAAAAATACTAAAACTTATGGTGAATTTTTAGAACCTATCTCTGTATACAGGGATGGGGGGGGAAGCATAGGGAAAATGAGAGATTCAAAGAGACACTAGAAAAAAAGTGTCTAAGTGTCCCTTAGAAACTAAGGGACAGCAACACCACTGAATAGTAACAACTATTCAGTAACGGAACAACAGAATCCTGCAGCATAATGGGGAGGCTAACGCATTCTTTCTCTCAGAGACCAACAGAGACTATATTTGCAAGGGGCACCAGGAAGAGTCAAGCATCTGCCTGAAAGGTAGTTGGGGAGGAATGTGCATGCCATGTAAAGTATGGTAGCAATTAGAGTGCACAGTCATTAGCCCAACCAAAGGACTTGGGGGAGAGCAAAAGTTATATGTAGGACCAGGCTCTTGACACAGGTGAAACTTCGAGGACAGAAACTTTCCTACCCCATATTCTTGGGATCTGTTCTAGTGCTGTAGAGTATACCAACAGGCAAGTCTCAAATCTGGCAACACTAATAGGAGTGATAACAATGGTGCCACATACAAATCAGGCTTCTGATGCATTCACAATAGCAACACTTCCCCATTCCACAGCAGCAACTCTCCCACCACCCACTGCTTGCACATGATAGAGAAGCAAAATGGGCAGATATACCACCAGGCAACTTGAGACTACAAAGGTGCTTATCATCTAATGGAAAGGGAATTAAAAAATATTATCATTAAGAACCACAGAGACAAGATGAGAACTCAGAAAAATAATTCAGTGATCTCAGGAAGAATTCAAAAAATCAAATCAGGAGTTCTATAAAAAGCCATGGAAACAAACATATCTACTGAAATAATGAATCAGCAGACCTGAGGGAAATAAAGTAAGGCATTCCCAACCTAGGGAAAAAACTGGATATACAAGTATGAGAAGCTGACAGACATCTGGTTATCTAAATACTAACAGATGTACATTAAGACACAGTGACTCTATCCAAAGTCCAAGACCAAAAACATATTAAAAGCAGTGAGGAAACGCATGTAACATTAAGTTGTTCCAAGCAGATTATCATTACATTTCTATGTAAAAACTATAAACCAAGAGAAAGTGGAATGTCATATTCAAAATAATGACAAAAATTTCAGTCAAGAATACTCTGTATCCTGAAAAACTCAGATACGAAAAATGTAGGCTTCCCCTAAACAAAAGCTGTAGGAATTCACTGCTAGCAGATGCTCCTTTAAAAGAACTATTGAAAAGAGACCTATTTAATAAGTTTACTGAACAAGGCAATAAATCAAATCAGAAAACAAGGTAAAATGACAGTGGCAACCAAACCCCCTTATGTCAATAATCATCCTAAATTTAGATGAACTGAGCTCACCCATCAAAAGTTACAGGATTAAAAATCAAAATCCAACTATATACTGTTCACAAGAAACTCCTTTAACCTATAAGGATAAACACATACTCAATGGGATGTAAGATGATACTCCAAGCCAATGGAACTATGATAGTAATACTAATGTTAACCCAAGTGTGAATGAGTAAGATGTTGAAAAGCTCTTTCCAGTCCTGCCACCTCCATTCATGGTGTAAGTGCCCTTTATGTTCTCTTTTACAGTGTATTTTTATTGTACGTTTAGATGTACAAATACCATTATAATTGTGTACAGTATTCAGTATAGCAACATGTACAGGATTATAGCAATAGTCTAAGTAAATAACTTGGCTATATCTTATAGTTATACCACCTACATTTGTTAAGTAAATGCTCTCATATTCACAAAACAATGAAAGTGCCTAGAAACATATTTCTTAGATGGTATCACAGTCATTAAGTTATGAATGCCTATACCAATAAGGAGTTTGAGTCAGTGATCACAAACCCCCCCAAAATAAACAAAAGTCCAGGGCCAGATGGCTTCACTGCTGAATTCTGTTCAAAATTCACTGGTGAATTCAACACAAATCTTCAGATTTCTCAGAAATAGGACAGGGGATATATCCAATCTTGTATTATAAATCTTATTATTACACTGATATCAAAAACCAACAAGAATGCCACAAGAAAACTATAAGCCAACGTCCCTGATAAACACGGATGTAAAATACTAGCCAACCAAATTCAACTATATAAAGCCAGTCATACATCATGGTCAAGTGGGATTTATGCCAGGTATGCAAAGATGTTTGAAAATCAATGTGATACAACACATTAGAAAAATGAAGAATGCACACTTATCATAAAACAGGTGCAGGAAAAGTTAACAAAATTCAACATCCATTTATAACAAAAATGCAACAAAATGTGAATATATATCACCATAGTAAAGTTCATCTATGATAGATCCACAGCTAACATCTTACTTATAGGTGAAAGCCTGAAAACTTATCCTTCAAGATAAGTACTCCTGGAGCAGCCAATAGCAGCACAGGGGCCCAATAAGACTACTGGCCAAGTGCGGGGTGAGAAGTCACCTAGTGGAAGCCTCACCAGTGGTAGAAGTAACACAGATCCTGATAAACTCCCCAGATGAGTTTGGAAGTGGAGTCATTCCCACCAGAAGCCCCACCAACAGCAGAATAGTCCTGATAGCAAATAGTGGAAGACAACAAAAAATTAAAGTGGCAAGTTGAATCCTCAGAGGAATACATACCACAGAAAGACACAATCTCCAGAACCCAATCACAAAGATGCTGAAGATCTGTTCTTCCTATCAGGTACAGAATTGCAAATTGCCTTAATAGAGGAAATTAAAGAAATGAAAAAACACAAAAGCTGATCTAAAAATAATTAAAAAAAAATGAATGCCCTGAGAAATAGTCAGTAATTGGAATATTGAAAATGAAGCTCTAATAACAAAATCAGGATGTAAAAAAGATCAATAGAGGAGACAGAATTCTGTAGAAAACTAGGGAGTAGAAAAGGTCAAATGGAAAATCAAATCAATGAGCTTGATGATGAGAATGCGACTGTCACCAGGCAGAAGAAGAAAGATTAAAAAGTGAAGAAACACCAAGAATTATCCACCCAATGAGGGAAGACAACACAATAAATGTGGGTATCTCAGAGTGGGAAGAGGAGAGAGGAAAACTTCACAAATCTAGAGATGAAAATAATTATACAAGCCCATGAAGCTAAAAGAATAGCATTAAGACAAAGACTATTGAAACTGACTAGGGGTGAAATCAGATAATCTATAAAGAAACATCAAGCATGCTAACATTGAACTCTGAAGAAAGGTTATGGGGAAAGGAGAGAATGGAATGACAAGATTACACTATCCTGGAAAACTCTCCTTCGGATATGAGAGATAAAGGCCTTCTCAGACAAAC